GCCGAGAGTCAAGCCGTCACATTCGTCTCATGCTTCCACGACGAGAAGAGAAGATGATCGACAGAATGCAGGAACCTTGCTGGACAAATCCTCAATCTCGTCCAAGTACCTCGAGACCCTTGAGCACGTGCCCAGCTCGCAGCTGGCGCTTCAGGCTGGGATAAAATCAGGTGCAGAAATCAAGCCAGAACTTTCCGACTCTGGCTTCAAAGAAACTTTCGAGTCTGGGGACCAGGGCTGTTCTGGTGAGAGTGGCACCGAGAACAGACTGGGCGTAGGTTAGAGCGCAAAGTTCTCGCCAGTGAACGTGGACGAGGCACAGGCCGTCAGAAAGGGGGAAAGCTTAATTTGAATTTTTTTTTCCTGCAGTCGGGTTAGGGAGTGGTATGAATAGCTTTTCTTTTTTCAGGAAAATGGTGAAAGGCAACTGTTGTATCTTTATCAGAATTCTGTATTATGGTCAAAGGTGGACTGCATATTTGCAATACTTTTTCACACTTAAAAATATGTCATACTAAAAATATGTAGTATAGCCGATGACGAAAAGAGAATGGCTGGGCGTCCTTCAGCACGTGCTTGTGCTTTTCACCCCGCTTTGGACAGATGTGCTCGCTCCAGGCTCATGAGGCGCTGGAACGTCATCGAACGTAGCAGACGGGCTGGAGGTGGAACAACGGAGACTTCTCCCTGCCTTTCTCATGGTGTCAGTGAGCGTGTACTTCTATGCTCTAACTTAGCTTAACCTGCACAGAGCTGAGTAGAACAGGCTTGGCGAGTGCCCTTACCGCATATGCATTTGTACAGCTGAGGCACTTTCTGAATCAAGAACATTGTGTATCTTATTTTCAAAACCCAATCATTTTGGGGGTGCAAAAGGAATTCTAAGGCATATTTTTATTTGTATTGTCCTATTACGCATCGACTCCTTCAACTTAATGCGGAGTCGACCCAGCCTCTTGAAAAATTTAATGCCTGCCAGGTAATTGTTTCGCATTTAGTTAATATATCAGTATTCAGTTAGGTATCCCAAATCATTAGTCGCTGAGATGCAGTCTCTCTGTAAGTGAGTCATGTTTAACATTCATAAAAATGCTGTCAAATAATGGCACTGTCGAGGACATGTACTCAGCTCGAACAATCGCTGGGCACAAGCTGGTCGTGTGGTTACATGTGGCAAACATCCCGGTTGGAACGTCCTATTTCGCAATGTAGCTGCAGACTAGGTGAGGGCCCCACTCACAAACTTCTATACTTTGCGTCTCTTTAAGCTGGACCACTTTTGACACTACAAGCCATTGCGGCAAAAACTGCATGACACATGATTATAAGCACGACGCACCATGGCGTCCAACTAGAAGGTCACATGGCTTGCTTTGTGCACTGAATTTGCAAGGATGGCTTAAAGCTTCTGTCGTTGTTAAATTAAGCTGAGATAGTTTGGAATAATGCTCTCGGTTTTTAGTGTTGCCCGGCATGGTTAACAATTTTGTGATATAGTGCTGCATTGAAAAGTCTGTGCATTCATGACTGTATCACCTTACGAATGCATACTAGCTATTAAACTCTTCATTCTGCAGAGAAATGAAATGCACTTTGCTTCCAATTGTACCCGCTTCTGTAGCTTCATTGTATGAAGCACCTTATGGCTGCAAGCTCTGACCGATCTTGTTCTGTGGTCTGCGTAGGCCCATTGCAGGGAGTCGCTTTGAGAGCCTCACCAGAGTTTCCTGCCCGTGGTCGTTCTAAATTTTTTTGTTGTAGGTATGCATCTTTTCTGTCTTTCCCTTAATTGTACTCAAACGTCTTCGTTTCATTGTAGCCGATTTGCCTCAAAATTGGTTAAGCACACAAATGGACGCAGTACAACTGTATCGCACATATTTTGTTCAAGGTAACTGTTCTTCGCCAAAGTTGCAGATTTTTTAATAAAGGTTTGCCTTTTTGGTTTTTATTTACAAATTTATGTGCGTTTCCATGGGCAGCACTAAAATGTTATGCCAGGGGCAAGGACAAGTTGACTGCTCTAACTGGTTCTTAACTGATTGCAAGAATTTCGTTAACGTCGTGAAACCTCCTTCCAGCGCTTGCTTTGCAGCATGAAAAAAAATTATACATACGACATACTCCGTTTTTTTAGACTGCTTGCTCATTCTGCAGGTCTGCCTGCCATAGATGTCATGCTACTGGATAGCAGGCGAATTCGATTGTTGGTTTTGCCGTTGCTTTTTTTTTAGCCATTGCCTTAATAGTTCTTGTAAATTTAGAGATTTTCCTAAAAAAGCAAGCCAGGAGGAATATTTAGTTTGATTAGGTAGCTGAAAATAATGAGTTAGTACCACTTAGTCGGTAAAATAGATACTGTGTGCCGCTGTTAATGTCAAGTCGAGATCCACACTTTTTTGGCATTTTGCTCAGAGTAGTACCCATTTTTATACGTTAGACCTCTTGGTGCGCCAACTAAACTCTTTCTATCCAGGCACCTGCCCTCTTTTGGTACACTCTACCCTCATGTTCAGTGAGTGTATGAAATGGAGTTGTATCCCCAGTCGACACTCGCTGAGCACGAGGGTAGGAAAATCTTTCCATTGCAGCAGAGCCATACATGGGGAGAGTCTGGCAGTCTATGATTACGCTGCCTTAACGTCTCCCTTCCGAGTGAGCTAATCAGCCCGCGGCACAGAGCGAGAGGCGTGAGCGCGTGCGCGTGAACTCTAGGCTGCTCCCATCTGAGCGGGGAGGGCCGCCATTTTCATTTATTCACCCGGCATGGGATCGATATCTAAATTTTGGTTCTTTCCTTTCATTTGGCAGGCCCTGGCAATACAATGATAGAGTGTTATTCCACGGTGGCTTAAAAACCTACAGAAAGAAGTTTCATGTTTGAACGCAAAATTTTATTCAGGCAAAAAAAAAAGAAATAAGCCGGTAGCAGACGACGCGTAGCCTCAGCAGTGCTCCGTGCCGACAGCTTTGCGTCAAAGTGGCGGTCGTCTCCTTTTTGCCTTTTTGCTGCCTTCTCTCTCCCTCCTTCGGTGTTCTCCTCCCTTTCCTCCTCTCCGGCGCCTTCGTCGCCACACCCACGGGCTAAACTCCCACTATACGGCTGTGCATTGCAGTAGTAGTTTTATTTACAGTCTTTACAGTTGAATGTGAATATTTGACAGAAATCTCCCAGGTTGGGGCGAGAGAGGGTTAAATGAATGCATTTGTTTATTCGCCTTAATTCGGTACCCATCATTTTAACGCCTACGCGGCCTTGTCCTGGGGGGTGACTATGACTAAAATAAAAGGATCTATGTGCTGATCACGAAAGAATATGCTAGCCATTCTAATGTAGCTCTGCCAAGTATTTGATTGCGATTTGTTTCTATTTTCAGTTACTTGGGTGCCTCAAGATCTGGAGATCCTAGTGGGCACAAGCTTGCCCTATTGAAAAATTTCGGCAAACTGGGCCAGTTCAAACAGGCTTATTGCCACTGGTTAAATTGGTTGAACTGGACCAACTGAAACTGTGCATACTGGGCCAGTTCAAACAGGCTTATTGCCACTGGGCCACTGGTTAAATTGGTTGAACTGGACAAACTGAAACTGTGCTTACTGGTCTTAATGTGAAACTGTGCATACCGGTCGTCCCCTCCATGCAGTTAGACCAGTTTAACTGGCCATATTGACAACACAGGTCTTAAACTGGTAAAAGTCACTTTATTGCAACAGAAAAAAATACATACTCCAGATCACAAAAATACACTACAAATATTACATTAGTTGCCCTAGGTAGTACCTTCTTTAAATAAAAAAAAAACGAAATTCCTTAGAGTGCTACGCCTGCTGGGGCACACAAAAAAACAGTTTACACCACAAAAATAAACAGAGAACACTTCCTTAAATGTAAAAAGATTAAAATATTGCATAAATTGCCCTGTTTTCTTTCAATAGATAAAAAAAAATTATGAGTGATACGCCTCCTAGGGCACACACACACACACGAAAAAAACACATACTTCACAGCCCTGAAAAAATACTTCACAGAAATTGCCCCGACTAGTTTCTTTTTTTTCTTTTTGCGATAAAAAAAACACACTTTTTTACAGAGTGAGAAATAAACAGAGAATGTAAAAAGATTAAAATATTGCATAAATTGCCCCGTTCTCTTTCAATATATAAAAAAAATATTATGAGTGATACGCCTCCTAGGGCACACACACGAAAAAACATACTTCACAGCCCTGAAAAAAAACTCCACGGAAATTGCCCTGACTAGTTTCTTTTTTCTTTTTGCGATAAAAAAAAAACACTTTTTTACAGAGTGAGAAATAAACAGAGAATGTAAAAAGATTAAAATATTGCATAAATTGCCCCGTTTTCTTTCAATATGTAAAAAAAAATTATGAGTGATACGCCCTGCTAGGGCACACATACACACACAAAAAAAAAATACTTCACAGCCCTGAAAAAAAACTTCACGGAAATTGCCCTGACTAGTTTCTTTTTTCTTTTTGCGATAAAAAAAAACACTTTTTTACAGTGAGAAATAAACAGAGAATGTAAAAAAATTAAAATATTGCATAAATTGCCCCGTTTTCTTTCAATATATAAAAAGAAAATGATGAGTGATACGCCCTGCTAGGGCACACACACACACACACACAAAAAAACACATACTTTACGGCCCCGAAAAAATGCTTCACGGAAATTGCCCTGACTATACTTCGTTTCAGCTTCGGTACGAGCGCAGCCGATGTTATAAGCAGAAGGCCCAATCAAACAGCGCAAAAAGCGCAGCGTCATGGCGTGCTCTCTGCGATTGATAGGACGAGCCGGCGGAGGAATGCGCACAGAGAGACGGCGAATACCGGCTGGACCTATCAACTGCAGAGAGCACGCATGACGCTGTGCCTCTTACGCTGTTTGATTGGCCCTTCGGTTCATAACATCGGTCGCGCTCGGACCGAAGCTGAAACGAAGTATAGTTTCTTTTTTTCTTTTTGCGATAAAAAAAAAACACTTTACAGAGTGACACGCCTGCTGGGGCGGCCCAGATCAGATAAAAAATTTGTCATAATATTGTTTAGACATGCCAGGCGGTTGCTGACGTCATCTGCCTCCTCCGGGGTGTCGGGGTTTCGGTGGTGCATGATGTAGTACTGCAAGGCATCTGAAAGAAAAATGAACATCAATAATTAGGACCATGGCAGATTTATTTGCACCCACCTGTTCTAAAATGGTGTGGAACTAATGTCCCAAATAACAAATATTATAAACAGTATGAGAGGGAATATGGAAGGAAGTGCGTGCGAATCCTACATGTGGCGCCAGTCTTGCGGCAGTAACGCAAAGCGACGCCTAGGAGTGAAAGGACCCTGCTGTTAGCCCCTTCTTGCCTCCACAGTCTGTCGCCTGCTATGCAACTCGCAACCACTGCGGTAGAGGATCTCTGAAGCTGTAAGTACAGTGCGCCTCAAACTTAACGCCGCCACGGCATTTTCCCTTTCTGACAGTCTCTGCTGTGGCCGATTGAACTATCTGAAGAATGCTAGGGTTCCCGATTTCTATCCCATCCTGAGAAGGCATTCCAAATGTTTCGGTGACAAATGCAACATTAAGTAGCCGATACGAGGTCAATGTTTGGGATCCCAGTTGCGGCGTTAAGTTTGGGGTGCAGTGTACACTGGCGGCTGAATCATTAGCATAGCTGTGCCAAATAGGGTTGCTGAAAGGTTCAGTTTGATATGCATCCTATTATGGAAATGATCCTTTCCAACACTGAAATAGCCAATGTGAATGCAAATTGAGGGCTGCATATGTCAATTTGTTTTCCTCAGAGTTTCTACGCGCTTGCTGTTAAACATATTAAAGTACAGCTCACAATAACATTACTACATGTTTCTAGCCTAAAGTGAATTAATTATTCATTGCCTCGATACTGTAACTAGATTATCATCATTTGTTGTTTGCGAGGGCATCTTTTACAAATGAATACACTGCTAATTGGGCTTACCCTTTTCTAAAATGTGGAGTCGGGTGCAGTTGGTCACAATAGAGATTACCAGCGGGTGGAATTTTTCACAAGTCACTCACTGAGACCATTCAGACAAGCTATTAACAACATGAACAACAGTCTCCAAGAAAATAGCTTGAAGATTAATAAAGCTTACAAAGATGCTAATTCCAATCCTTCAAAATCATATAAACAGCAGGCCTTTGACCTCCTGCGTATATGATTTCTGCCCCGTACGTTCTAAGCGAACAGGTGCAAAACGCAAGGGGCATGGGGACAGCCAGATGCCAATAGAGGCTTTTCGTACCTATGTATTGTTTTGAGTAGGCAGTGCCACAAGTGTGAACAGCACATGCTCCGGCTGTGTCTCATTCTGCTCATAATAGCACATCTCACATTCCACTTGCATGTTATGCAGCTACTTTTAAAGTCTTATGCCAATGTGCTGATAATATTGATATCAATTCTTAGATATTGTGTTTCCTATTCCAAATCATGGTAATCAATATTTCAGATTTCTTCGTTGTACAATGCTTGCATTCAACAACATGCCAAACATTTTCATGTTTCCACCCTTTCTGAGCACAAATTTCTCAAGAAATTTGGGCTCAAGCATAAGAGAACTTGATAAAATAACATCACCATAGGCACCTTCAGATTAGAAGTCTAAATCTTGACAAGACAAACCAAACAATATTTTCACTCGAGAAAGTTGAAACTTACTTTTCACTGCTGCCACCTTCCTCGGTGTGAGGGCTTGCTTGGCCACCCCTCCACTCCTCACCAGCCGGCGGCTGACCTGCCCCGTGACACTGCGTTCTTGCAGCTGCTCAGCCGTCCAAAGGCACCGCATCACATCTTTCGTGAAGCGCCGGTCCGAAGGCAGCTTCATGAGGTGCCTCATCTTTTGCTCCGCTATGTAAACCTCGTCTCCGAGGTGGATCTGAGGAAAATGCGTACAAGAATAAAGGGTACATTCTACAATAGAACGTCATTGATATCTTCCGGGCTGCTATACTCATTAATGCCATGTCCCGTGCAACTCTCATGAGAATGACTGTACTGTCGAGACCAGTTATAACGAAGTCAACGGGAGTCGGAAATCACTTCGATATATTCGCTATTTTGTTATAACTAACGTCAGTTAACTAAGTGAAAAAGGGAATGGAAAATCGTGATCGCTCAACTGTAGCCGCTATTTTATTATAACCGGTCTCAACAGTACTAATTTCACGTTTGCAGTGTTCGCCTTCCCGGTGTTACGTCCAAAAATGACCACCCTCTTTCTTTGGCTTTGCTCATCTTGTTTTCATCTGTCTCTCTGTGCGGCGCCTTCCCCTGGCTGGGCATGACTTTAGACTTGAAAAGAGTTAAATCTTTTGCAGCAGTTCGTTTCACCTCCTTCTCTGGTGCATGCGTGCATTTCTGTTCTGCTCAGAATTCTTGGTTTTGCTAGTTTAATTTTTGGCGCAGTTCAGAGTTTGTGACCGCTGTCGAATATGGCGTTGCAGAACAGGAAGACTTTCGCTATCAAGACATTTGCGCACAAATACATCACCAAAGAATCTCAGTCATCCCAGTTGAAACTCGCACGTCGGCCGGGTTATAAACTTCCCGACAATAACGCAGCCATAGTCACAATGTTACGAGCAACCTGCTAAAAGGTAAACACTTCTGAAAGGTTAAATGGCTGCTGCTGTGATATGGCTGAGCAAGGGTCCAGCGGCACAGCAACCTGGGGGGCCCCGGGTACCAGGCGCCCCTGTTGCGTAGGGGCGTGCCACCTAAGTAATTTTACTGGTTGGTCGCGATTTCTTGAAGTGAAAAGGAGGGATGAAAGATATAAGGGTGCCGGATAGCCTAGCTACGCCACCGCCAGAGTCCCTTGCTCCCTACAAAACAGTACGATTGGTTTGCCAGTGCACTTAAAGGGGCCCTGCAATCATATTTAAGCGTCAACCTTTTTCGCGGTTTTTACGTCTCTTGAAAATCGGGCAAGCCAGCGGGCACGGAGAGAGTAACTAAATATCAGTGCATCGCATTTTAACCAGACGACGCGGAAACCTCCTCCACCGACGGGGGCGATCCGCGGTACCGAAAGTGCGCAAAATCTGACGTCCGTGGTCCTGGGCTTACTACTGGTCAGAGCCGCTAAAAGCTTCTTTTTAGTCGAAATACAAAATATAAGTGGCGCAAACCATTTCAATTATTTATAAAAGTAGCTTTTGCTCAGTATTTTAAATAAGAAAAGATATGAATGCAGTTTATAAAGTACGGAAACAAGAAATGGCCCGTCGACATACCCGCCACCAAGCGGTGGAAAAAGCGGCGCATACTAGAAAGAAGTAGTGGGATCAGGCGCCGACACAGAAATGTCCGAATGTATGCGGAGGCACTGCGGTCGTACCAACAGGAGGATCTAACCGGCTCCGAGCGTTCCGAAGGCGTTCGAAGAGCAGCTTTGTTTAGAGGTTTGGCCGTTTCGCGGTATGGCAATTCGAAGTGGCTTCCCTTCTGAACTGATCTTTACCCCGTGTTTGCTATCGTTTGTGGCCAATGAAGTGTCATGCCGAATTAGCGTTTAATCGCGCAGCAAAAGCAATGACAGCCGCTCTGGCTGCCCGCTGCATACAGCCTATCCAGAACATGCTTTAGTGGCGTCCTCCCGCGCCGTCGACAAGGAGTGTGGCAGCCGTGAGCGCTTGCGATGCCCACTACCCCTCCTCTAGTTCACGGCCACTCAAGCAACCAAGGACGTCATGAGGGAGGTTAATTTTTGCTTGTTTTTGTAATTTTAATTTTCCTATAACTTTTAAAATAAAGCGAACTTCGAGAAAAGAAAAGTTTCACTAAGTTACTACGTTCAGTGCGCTCAGGTTCGGTGCAAATTAAAAACCAGTAAAAAAGTGCTTGCAGGGCCCCTTTAAGACGCTTTCAAGGAGCGTTCTCATATTGCGCTATGATCAGCCAGCAGCTCCTAGATACAATTAATACCTGCACATCATGTGATAAGACATTACCTCCGGGAAACCACAAAAACACATGCTGGATACGAGTGCTGCGTTGGCGTTCGACTGCGACCAGAGCCCTCAGCGAGTGGACGGGAGTCCCAGCCAAACGCTGACGCAGCACTGTATACTATCAGCGCCCATGAGGGCCTCCCAGAGGCGACGTCAAGTGACGTGACGCACAGGCCTTATTTGTATCTAGAAGGTGTTGGGCCAGCTCCATACTATTTTTGAGGATTTGAACCTCTATTGGTGACGAGATGTTTTAGTGGCTCATGGGCGCTCTCCTGTGACGGCGCGGGTAGGATGCAAGCAGACGACGGGCTATGTAATAGCACGGAGTGGATACGTTAGTTTGCATCTATGCCAATTAAAATTTTATTTGTTAAACACATGTGTATGATGTTTTTGGGAGTGATCTTTCTAATCAATGATAGCACCTCAAAGTTGCTTTTGCTTATATTAAAACCCATTAAAATGGTCAGAAACAAGCGCGAGTTCCACACTACAGCTTGCGTAGCGTGCGTCAGGGCCATTCACAACCTCAGATTGTTTTTTTTTTTTTTCCCGGATTTGTGGAGGCTTTTGTAGAAAAGCTTTTGTATTCACCAGAGCAAATGACGTGGTATCATCTTAGCTGTGCATGTGCACAGTTGTGTTGCAAAGCGCCACACACCTGTTTTAGCTATATTAAGCTTGCCGATACCGACGCTTCTAACCAAGTGTGACTCAACACTTGCTGACAAGCAGTTGTCAGCAACGGACACCTAGCTCCTCCTGCATTGAATACGTGGCAAAGAAGTTTGCCACATCGCGACTTCTGCTCGAAAGAAGAGCAGATATTTGCGTAACTTATTAAATTGTCGGCCATGGCCCAGCAAATTCAGGCGATTGATTAATGTTTTATCAAATTTTCACTAATTGATTACAAATTTAATATCGCTCGCTGAGAAGTGCATCACGCATTACGCGCAATTCCTTGGGTCAGCAGAACTACATTCTGTGACCTCAGTATAAGCACAAACTTTGAACATGTACAAGATTCTTTGCACCGCCCCTTTAAAGGATACGCACGCTTTAACCAAAATTTAACCTCACTTACATTCCCCTGGAAGACTTCGTACAACGGTGGCAGATTGCGTGGGGCCCGAACTCCAGCGTTCATGTCTGGCTGATGTCCTGTCCATGAAACACAAAAAGACGAGGCACTCTTAAAATTGAGCAAGGACACTATTTGGCTTTGTTTTGAATCAGCTGCTTCGCTGATGATGTGAAATAGACACCTTAAAAGGTCATTCCAGTTTATTCTTGTTATTGAGGAAGCTATGCTGTTCTTTTAAGTGTAATTGAAAAAGGCTGGAAGTACCTAGGGTGCCTTCATGTGTGCTTCACATAGAGTAATGCCAACTGACTGTTTCCGTTTCCCACACCCTCTTCCACCGCCATTTTGTTCCTCTCATTGGGGAATTGTAGTAGCCCGTTTTCCTCCTCCACTACGGTATCCGTGAAGAAAACGCCGCAGAAATGCATGCGCGCCGCCAGCCTTGTCTGCATAGTTCAAGGTCTTGTGGCGGATTACGGAGCGCTATCCGGGTGCTTAGCGGGCTCCTAAGACGGTCTATTACAATTCCCCAATGTTTCCCCATGCGCCGGAAAGCGGCCTTTGTGTCCATCGGTCTTCCCATCTGAGGGGGAAATATTATTCCTCCCTCCGTGGGTTCCACAACGCTGCTACGAACTTGTGAGATAAGGTGCTTCTTTCCGGGGGGGTTATAAGCCCCACGGATTATCACCAAGAACCAAAATGGCTGTTGGTTTGTCGGCGAGCGGTATTACAAAAGGTGGCATCACCCTAGCAAAGTGCACATGAAGGCTCCCTAGAAGTACCAAACAAACAAGGTGATTGAAATCTGCTAAATGTAGGGGGTGATATGGCACAGTGGAAATAGGAGTCTGTGTTCCTGATTGCACTCATCTTCAAAATCTATTAACTTGAACCTCAAAGGTTAATTTCTACTGTACTTAAACCGTAAGGGCCGAAGTGCAAGCTGCACTCTCAGCCTGGCAGAAAGCCCTCCCCCAGTGTCCTTATCTATACTCTCTCTCTAACTCCTAGCCTAAAAAAAGCACTCTGGGAGTTAGTCTCTATGAATAGGAAACAATGAATGGGCCCATCAATGAAACTCCTATCCACTTGATGAAACACTCAACAATGTGCTTCCTCCCAACGTCAATGTGCAGGAAAAGTGAGGAAGAGCTGACAAAACATTAAAAGACACATGCAAAGGAAAAAAAAAATTTTTTTAAACAGCTTAGATGGAAAAAGGATGTCATTAAACAATTTTACAACCAAGAAAAAAAATTTTAAAGCTATTTTTACGGCGCTATAGGAATTCGTAGTTGGCGCCGGTGGGCGCCGCGGAAAAGTGTCCCTTGCTTATCACGTGACGGGCCCATATTTGTCACGTGGTGCTTGCGCTCTTTCGGATGCTTCCTATGGCCTCTAAAAGTAACTTATTCATCTTTGTTTGAAGTATAACAAAAAACTAAGATGAATAAGTAACTTTTAGAGCCCAAAGGAAACTCCTGAGAATGCGCAAGCCGACGTGATAGACCTGTGCGCCGGTCAGACGGCGGCGGCACCCCGAAGCAGACAAACTTTTGCGGCAGCGGCGGCGTGGAGAAACGCGTTGAAGCGGTGTTCCAACAACACTCACCGTGCGGCGGCGACGCACGGGCCACCACGTGACTAGCGGCGGCTCCCGCGAGCGCCAACTGCAAATTCGTATAGCGCCGTAAATATAGCTCTAAAAATATTTTTTCTTCGTTGTAAAATTGTTTTATGACAGCCTTTTTTCATCAAGCTGTCTAAAAAAAAAAAGTTTTTTTCCTTTGCATGTGTCCTTTAAAAAGACTAACTAAGCAAGTTTTGTAAATGCCTGCTGTAAGGAATCATGGGAACCAGTTCCACCATGCTTTAAAAGGGGACCTTTCCACAAGCTCACCCAAAGGTCATAATTGCAATATGACCCTTGATGGTTCTATTTACCTAGATTTTCAACCTCCTGAAGATGAGGGAGAAGAGGAGCCGCTGCTGGGGCGGGGGGTCGAGCCAAAGCTGGGGCTTCGATTGGTGCAGCAGCAAGTGGTGGGAATGGGGCTGGGGCAGCTTCTGGTGCAAATGGGGCTGGTACTGGGGCTGCTACTGGCCCAGCAACAAGCGGTGGCAGGGCCGGGGCTGCTAGTGGGTCTGGTGCTGGCACTGCTACTGACGCAGCATCAAGGGGTGGGAACGGGGCTGCAGCTGCTGCTGGGGAAAGCGGGGCTGGTGCTGGTGCTACTACTGGTGCAGCATCAAGTGGTGGGAACGGGGCTGGGGCCACTGGCGGGGTAGGTGGAGAAGCCAAAGCAGGAACTGCAACTGGAGCAGCAGCAAGTGTTGGAAACAAGGCTGCTTCTGGTGCCATTGCAAACATTGGCAATCTGGGTGGGAGTGCGACTGGCACTGGTGCTAGAGCAAAAGGGAGTGGTGGAGACCTCATATCTGTTACTTAGAATCAGATGAAGCAGTTCTTGCATTGTAGAGACCCTTCACTATATCTTTAAAAGGACAGAAAAGCTGTGAGCTACGGCATGCTTTGAGGTCATCCCCAATATGTTTTGCCTTGAATATGCAAATGTGGCTTTCCTATGGTCTTCCAACGATGTTATGAACCTTAGATTTACCTGAATGGGACGTCGAGGGTATCTGTGCGACATTGATGTTGGAAGCTTGAGAAGCTAAAAAAGTAGAAACAATTGGGAGAGTTGAGCATGCCGAATGGTTATACACAATCAAGAAGGCGTCTCTTTCATTCCTTGGGAAACAATTTTTGAACGGTGCATTAAAAGTAATGTTTCAAGCAAAAATTTACCTGCACTCATGAGGTGTTTACTCCCCGAAGGCTTTGTGCGGGCAACCTCTGAAAAATGTAAAAAGAAAAAATATTATCAAATAAATAGAACCCAAAGAATGGTATCAGCCAAGCATACCGATCTTCTCCAGTAGTGCGAGGCCCAGACGCCTACTGTAATCTTTTTCGTCCTTCAGGCGCTTGCGCAGCTGCGCAATCATGATGTCTTTCTGATGCAACTGTTCCGTCGAAGTGAGCTCCTCATCCGAGCTGTCGAAAGACTCAAACCTTTTCCTCTTGTTGTCTCTTGTGGCAGTTCCCTAAAACGAGTTATAGTCGATAATTGGTTCATGGCATGAGCATTACATATAGATTTTAGTGATGGACCAAACTTTTGCCCAATCAACGATGCGGCAAAGCCAAAGATCTTTTACACAGATAGGGCAATGCCGAATATCGCTGCGCTTTACAGAATCAACATAAATTCGGCAGAAAAGCTGGGTTGTCCAACTGTCAAGTTGATGTTTGAGGGGGCATCTTTTTGGCAGAAAGGTCTTAGGTGAATGTTAAAAACATTGTGATTGCTAAATAAATTGATAGCCTGCAGCAGGGGTTCTCAAACTGGGTTTCGCGAGCTGATCTCCTCGGTTCTGCAAACATCCAAATTGCACCCTCCTCCCTCCCCCTGCCCACAGACTGTCTTGCCTCGCACGCCTGCGAGCCTGGATCGTGCAAAGCGCCTTCACCTCTTTGTACTGACATTGCAATTGATATGGGGATATGTGAGAAGCGAAACAGGCAAGATCGCCTACGATTGTGCTTCTGTTCCTTCTCAGTCGGCAAAAATGGAGGGGGGTGGGGGTTCCGCTGCAAATTTTGAGGCTTGCTGAAGTCCCGTGGGAAAAAAAAGTTTGAGAACCCCTGGTCTAGAGTATAATTGCATCAGTAGTCACGATACAAGTGCTTTTGGTTTCAATTTGGAGACGTTATCAGTGCAAGCCTGCACATGTACAGAAAGCACTCTCGTTCTCTCTACGCGTCGCAGTCCCCCGTGTGCCCCGGACACAGCAGTTGAGCCTCCAGCAGAAAATATAACAATATTATAGTGATCATGGCAAGTTTTTTTCACTCAACACCAACTTCACATGCGAGTGTGCGTCCTACATTCTCAATACCTTGTCTCTAATCTGTAAAATGCCAATTTGTGTTTAGGATGTGAAAGTTTATACTTCATCTCACAAGTTGTCTTCAACCCTGGCAAAGGCATGGGTGCAAGTGTGTGGTTTCTTAAAGTGCCTTGTAGGCGCGACTGCTCATGCAAAGTATAAACATCCTGCCAAGCTACGCTTTCGCAAGTGTGCCTTTGCAAGCACTGAGGCCGACTTGTGAGATGAAGTATAGGAAGATGGGAAGAATCAGGAGTTTCAGATGTGTAATGCAGAGTATGCAAGTTCCGTTTAGTTTTGGAGAGATGTGCAACCCTAAACATTTGTCGCAATCGCACCGATGTCTGCCCAATTTTGGTTGAGTTTTGCTCCGGCAGTTGGGCATCTGCCGAACTTTGCCAAATTCGTACTTTGGCAGATCCAGTCCATCACTAATACATTGTCACTTTCTAAAAGTAAAAAAAAAAAATCGATATTTTCTTAAAATGACTTTTACCTTCGATTCTTTTTCCCTTTCGTTGAAACTTTTATATATTTTTTCCTGGGCAATTTGATGTGCTTGAAGTTTCCTTGCCTTTTGTGCTTTTGAAGACATCTGAGAGCCGCCCTGAGGGGAAATTTTAGCGTATTATATCACAGTGCTGTTTCTGAAGAGGCAGAAGAAACAAAAGTTCAGTTAAACTAGCAGAAATTACTGAAGAATGTGAACAGCCCCTTTTACATAAGTTGCGTTATCTAGCAGTGGCCTTTCCCAACTACATGCAGGCGGTTTGGCTAGCCACTGTAAGCCACCTCTGGTACAGCCAGCACGGAATGAAACCCGAATGCCGGAACGCGCGGCCATTGACACAGGCTGCTCCACCTGCAGGGCCCCTGAGAACTAATAAAAATGCGCCGGGGGCGGGTCCTACTAAGATATGCTCTACCCTCATGCGGCGCGTCTGAGACTTCCGCCTCTCGCCAGTGGCGCGCTGTAAACACCGTAACTCGGGGTGCTTTCATGTCGCCGCACTGTCGCCAGATCGACACCTGCGGCTTCCGCGCGGCGCGAGAACATCGATGCTAAAAGCAGCTGCAAGCTGATTGCGCGCACGCCAGCAGAGCACGTCCATGGTGTCTTTTCCTCCTGGCGTGCAGTTTTTATAGTTTGTAATACCTCTCATAATTTTATTGTTAGCCATACTTATAGCAAAACAGCGCGACATATGAGACAGAACAAGCTGCGACACATAACGAGTGCTGACACCCAACTGAAGGTTGCTACTACAAATATTTAGTATATAATATATGAGCACATCCATACGTCCATTCCCAGAGCTCGTCTATTAACCTCTCATATTCTTCAGGATTGTATGCCTCGCTCCAAATGCCATAATGCAGGTCTACCAACTCGTACACTCAGCAAACATTTTCCTTAATTCCTTGAGCCTTGAACAATTCGTCACTCTGTTCAGATTTTGGTCCGATCTGTCCAGCGCTCCCATTAATTATCACTTTGTGTATAGCAAGGGCGAAAAGAAAAGTTGAAACATTTAGTGCACAGAAGACCCGTAGTGCTTGACGACGTGTCACCGGAACTATGCAGAGGCTCCAGTCAACAACTTGCCGCACGCGGTTTCTGAGAAATAGTGAAACATCATAGGTGCGAAATAAAATTTGTCACTGGCACGGCCATACTCTTAGTTTTCATGCGGCAGTGCGACGACACAAAAGCAACCTGAGTGACGGCGCTCACAGCGCGCCGCCGGCGAAACGTAGAAGCCCCAGACGCGCCGTGCGAGGGTCGAGCACGTCTTTGTAGGATCCGCACCCCGGCGCATTTTCACTAGGTCTCAGGAGCCCTCCAGGTGGAGCAGCCTGTGTTGATGGCCACACGTTCCGGCATACAGGTTTCATTCCATGCTGACTGTACATCGACAGTGATTCAAGCATTTGTGTTCATGCTGCTAACGAGGTAGAGGGGCGTAAGCGTGAAACACATTTATGACGAAACCGTCCGATCCGACGTCCGATCAGGCAATAAGACGGTCGGAGGTGAGGGTTTTCAACGCTCTCCGGTGCTACGAAAACCCTCATCCCCGAAGGTCATTCGGGCAGTCCGCACGTCGGATCGGACGGTTTCGTCGTACATGTGTTTCGCGCTTTAGAGCAATAAACTGGTATTCCGTTCACCCGGCAAAAGTGACCCCCCACTTGGCTGCCATCATGTTGTATGATTTTGAGAAGACACGTGACCGTACCAAATCCTGAAGCTTTTACACAAAACCAAGCAGATTTCTTTTGCAATCTCTAAAAAATATGATAAACTATTTTTTTAATACGTTAGTCGCAGAGATCAGTGTCTAGCTATGATAAAAACCCAAAATACAGCACCGCAGCTGACGGCATCTAGCGGAGGCATTGGGAAGCTCCTCAATTTTTCGTCGTAAAAGCACATGTTGGACTCAGAACGAACTAAGCATAACTTATCTCGTCGGTACCGTTATTAAAGATCAATAAGCAATTATTTGTGCACGGTACTTTGTTAAAATCTAGACAAAAAAGTATTAGGTCACGTGTTAGTGGTAAAAAAAAGCGTGACATGGCATGGCCAATCAGGGGTCACTTTCAGCTGCCAGCTTATCGCTCTAACCGCTTATTCACACTGGAAGCGGATCCGTGTTCGCAACCGCTTTGCTAACGTGGATCCGCTTCCAGTGTGAATGAGTGGTAAGGCCCTCTACCTCATTGGTGCTGCTGCTCTGTTGTTACTGAGAAGAATCCTTTTCACTGTTTCATTGCAGTTTATGAAAGAGTTAACTTGGGTTTGTTCATAATTCTAGTCAGGAGGCAAACAGAAGATTTGGGTTTTAGTAAGGGACTATAGGTGGCACTGAGGTCTATTTAAATGTCTACTGGGAATGCCTAGCTATGCTAGGCATTCCCAGTAGATGGCATATGGAAATTAACTAGATGCTAGATGGCATATGGAAATTAACTTAATTAAAACATGGGCTTACCTTCTGCATGGAGGTGTTAACGTTTGGAAGGCCGTCCAGTATTCTGGGTATGGCAGCCCTAGCCTTCTGCATTTTCCGCACCAGCAGCTCCACAGTTGCTGCAACGATTTCAAGGAAGTTAAGAGAGCATTAATTGCTTTTGGAAAATGCTACAAGCTGGGTCCATATCACATGAGCGAATGACATTTTAGCGAACGGCGACATTTGAGCGAATCAACGTTTTAGCGAATAACGGGGGCGCGCGTTAACCCCTCCGCCGTGCTGCGGTTTACGCCGCTTCGCGAGTCTGCGGCGGCTCAATACAAAAATGTGAACCCATTTGGCCCACCCGAAAACGCCGCTTCGCGGCGTCCGACTATTCGCTGAAGTGTCATTCGGTGGGGCGTTCGCTAAAACGTCATTCGATCAAGTGAGTGCCTCCCTGGTCTTTCCTTCAATCAAGCTCGCTCGCGCCCAGCTTCACGTGGTACAGTACGTAGCTTGAACAAAGACCTCCCGAACCGGCGATTTTTCAACGGAGCTCCCTAACATAAGGTTTATATGTCAGTAAAATACATACCTCCCAGCATCTCCACCGTACCTTCGTAGAATCCTTCGTCTTCCCCCTTTTCGGATACCCGAAAAGCTTCGTACTTGGTCTTTGGGTTGAAGTCTTGGTCGTCACTAGGACTAAACCTTCGGATTAGGGACGCAGGTAATATTAGGCGTCCACCATCCGAATACTTTACATACGCAAACATTGTTTGTCCTGTCGCGTTCTCAGATACGGTCACTGCGAACAACACGGCACCTCAATCACAAGATAATAGACGAACGATCCAGGGTTCCAGATAAAAATTGAATCGAGCTGCGGCTGGTCTCTGTGTCCGCAGAACGACGGTTGCAGCGTGGTTGCGGCGTTTTGTTATGGATTTGTGCTTTGTCGCTCAGTGTTGCCAGATGGAACAAATTGAAGTCAGTAGATGGACGCCAAAGAATCAGCAAATACTATTATATATATATATATATATATATATATTATTTCTGACTGCTCCTAATAAATAATTTAACATAATAAATAATATACTATTCAGCACACATAAGTTTGTTTTTTGCTTGCTGTATGTTTTTTTTTTCTTGTTTTCTTTTTTCGATTTAATTCGCATTGTTTAGCGGTCAAGTGCTGCAGAAAGCGAAATGGTTATCCTTAGTACACTCCCACGCAGTATTATAGACCGTTTTACTGAAAAAGGGCGAGAGAAAAGGAGAAATGCCTACCAAATACTTTACTAGGGAGTCCTTTCAAATACAATAGCCTCGGTGCAGACAGGTTTTCTGGGCTTGGCGATGGCCACCCGGCCATCTATCGTCGGGGAGGTCTCGGCTGTCGATGATATTGATGTTCTACATACCAAATTCATTGTTGTGGCAATGCGCGAGGCACGTGCCGCGCGCCACTTCTAAGAATAACATGGCATCTCAACTCTAGCTCAATGGTGCGCTAAATACTTTGTTGCGCTGTGCCGCCATGATCTTCCCAAGGATCGCACGTTTCACGTGCTTCGTGCATCGACGCACCTTGCGCTACTTTTGAAACATGAAGGGGGGATCGGTGGCCGAGTGGTCTAGCGCACACCAGCTCGGAGCACGTGGAGCGAAAGCTCGCGCTGCAGAACCCAGGGATCCTGGGTTCGAGCCCCACCCCTGCCCGTTTCGATCTGGATGAGCATCGTACCGGCGTGCGGTCGTGTATCACTAGTGCGTGATGCACGTTAAAGACCCCAGGCTAGCGGATGCACCGCACTGGCTAAATTGCTCATCTACAGCTGGGAGACTCGTCGCCCCTGTGAGGCAGACCAAGTTCTAGGCTGTATAAACACACACACAACCCAATTTTTTTGAAACATGAAGGGGCTTTAGGTGGAATCGGAGACGACACCGCCGCGGCCGCCGCGAACATCCACGTACACTTGCGCGTGTACTGACGCGGACCTCCACTCCGTCAGGGCTGGGTTCGGCGCTGTAGGCGTTCTGTCTAATGCAAATGAGCAGAGTGGAATGTTTCACCTTATGATGTACCGCAGTAAAGGCTGCAAGCGCGAGCTCTTTGTTCTAGGGCACATCTCGGCGGCACAAGCTCTCATGCGTTAAGAGCAGCTCCCAACGCTATGAGCTCGAGCTTCTAGCCTTCTCTACGGTACAACATAAGGTGAAACGGAGTAAGTATTTGGGCCTACCATCGCTTTCACCTTGCTGGTTGTGTAGAAAGAGTGGAAGTCCCGGATGAGAGGCTTGGCCGGTGTTGGGTGTAGGTATTGGTCGAACTTCGTTCGCGCATTCTTCTGTGTTTTAAACTGGCAAACTCAATTAGAGCCACGGGCTTCGATGGCGACAGTCCCCCGGTCATCGGCACACCATTGCTCGGTCATAGGGTGCACGAATAACGAACGAAAGCGTCGAATCAAATACTGTCCGAGGACCTATGTAGCTTGCATGTGATCCGCCAAGGCGAGAACCGGTTTTCACATGACCGCGGTATCCGGCGGCAATGGAATGCGTCCGTAAACCGAAAAGACGTTTCCTCAACACCATCCTCTCAACTGTGCTCGGAAGATCTCTGAATGGAGCGCGTACCGAACGCTGTACCGCCGGTGAACATGGCCTGTACCACCGATGAACGCTCGCACGGTGCGTGGAGTTTTCCCGTGATAATCGCTCTTTCAGCCTGTAAAATTTTGTAACTGAATTTATCTTAATAGTTTGCAGTGGTGCCTGACTCGATTTTATGATCTACTTAGTTGAAGGCTCATTTCCGCCACCGGATGAGGCTGGAAATCGTTGAAAAGTTAGTTTTATCGGTTTTCCTGAATCGCGGTCTCCTGTGCGATACCAGAGAGCCGGCAAAAGCGCGCTCATTGGAGGCCGCCGGTGGGATGTTTCCGTTGATTGGGAGCTTTAAAGCGCTGGATAGTTGCTGCAGGGTTCTCGTGTGTTGCGATGTGCGTTTTCGAGCCCGTGTGCTGTGCATGTTTCTTTGCTCGAGTCATGGCATCCGCCAATGCGGCGACGGGGGGGAACAGCGGCAGCGAACGCGCCAGCGATAGAAATTGGAGGTGAGTACTCAAAATATTGCATCAAATAGTAGAATATAATTCGTGACTGCTTTGAAGCTTTCTGCGGTTCGACATAAGTAGATCTAGAACGTCTTCGTCGTTCAGAAGGAAATAAAAGAACACAGACACGCAAGATAAAAGCAGCAGCGCAGCAAAACGATCTGTAGCAGCTCCGGGTGTTTACAAAAGTTATTTGAGGTTCCCGCATCGTGTGTCGCTTGTTGATTACTAAAAACAGCTACGTTGAAATAGGCACATTGCAAGCGAAAAATGATAAATGGTTCATCCTTTCCAGTCATGCGGAAAGCGATGGAGCTTAAAAACATTGCAGCCGCACATGCCTTGCCGGATCCCATGCAAGCTACATAGGTCCTCGGACAGTATTCGACGCTTTCTGTCGTTATTCCTGCACCCTTTCACCCAGCAATGCTGTCCCGATGAGCGCGGAACTGTCGCCATCGAAGACCATTGCTCTAATTAAATTTGGGAGTTTGAAACGAAGAAAAAAGCGCGAACGAAGTTCGGGCACTGCATACGCCCAACACCGGCCAAGCCTCTTATCTGGGACTTTCACTCTTTCTACACAACCAGCAAGGGGAAAGCGCCGGCAGCCCTTTCTCATTTTCTCTTGCTCTCGAAATGGCGCTATCCACGATAAAATCCGTGTAATGGCTTGTGTAGATGCTAGTTTCGGTTTTAGACCTTGTTAGTTTCGGCATCCACGATAACTGAAAATGCGTTTTGCAACGTAAATATTACGCAAAAAAAATATTTTCTACGAAAATTTATTTTACAAAATATCTGACCCGTTCTGGCAGTAAAACAAAACAAAAATCTTTTTAGCGTCCCAGTTTTTTTTAGTTTTTTATTATTTTTAAATGCCACAAAGGCCCGAAAAGCTATCTCCCGGAATTAGCTCATGAGGTTATCCCGGCTTATTCAGTCACAAAAACATTTCCCCGTTAAAATAGCACGCAGCTAGTGCGGGGGAATGGGGGACTGCGACGAGGGGAATTTTCCTACCCTGCAGAGACCTACCTGAGAGTGAAACCGAAACAAATAAGAGTTGTATACATAGCTAATCCGCAAATCCAAGCCGTCCAAGCTTCCTTTTGGCGCCAACGCGCCAAGGCAGCACTAGGAACTACACTGGAATTCTTGTTTGCGCATTAGAGGGTTCCTTTGGCCATGGAACGCTCCCTGGGTGGCAGTCCGGCCAAGCGACGTAAGCGGCGTAAGATTTACTTGACCGAGGGTGAGCCATTTGTGGTTCCTCGAAGAACACTGCATTACCAAAAGAATGCTGGTGATCAAGACGCGCTCGCCCCTGTACCTCAAGAGGCGCTCGCCTCTGTACCTCAAGACGCGCTCGCCGTTGTACCTCAAGCCGCTCAGACTCCGGCATCCGCTTACGGTAATGCTGATAACGATGTCATTGATATCAGCCGCTCAGAACAATCAAAATCAGGCGCGGATGCCGAGCGCGAGCGCCCGCAATCTGTACATTCCAGCGACGAGGAAAGCTCCGATGTGGACGACCACGTCAGAAACGATGTTGAGGTAGAGATACTTAGCCAGTCCGACGAAGATGATGCTGACGAGATTAACGAAGATGACGCTGTACCAGAAGGGCTCCTGCTCGAACAGCTTATGTCGGGCTGTTTCCATCAGTTTGGGACAGAAAAGCTGCCCCATTCTCCGACAACAAAAGCTGGTGCCATCGCAATGATAATGGCTCACGTCGTGTCCCAGAAGATGACGTGGTCAAATCTCGATTCCTTGCTCGTTCTGATCAACAACCTGTTTGGCCAGCAAGTCGTGCCGCCAAGCAAATATGCTTTCCGAAAGCTTTGGAAGGCGGAGACTGAAAGCTTGGTTCGTCGCTACTACCTCTGTGAAGGTTGTGGAAATGTTCTAGATGACACAGAAACTTCAGCCAGCTGCCCAGTGTGCCAACAAGCAATAGACTTAGCGGTGCTAAAAGAGAAGGGTTCATACTTTGTGATGCTCGACATGGCAAAGCAACTGAGCTTCGTAATTGAAAAGACCAAGGAGTCCCTCCACGACAACCTCTCAAAACTTGCAATCGATCGGGATGCCCCGGCAAGTGC